GTTGAACATTTATTCTGCTCTCAGTTGTTTCAATGACTTCTTGAGAGCCAGTGCATAAGCACACGATCAGTAAGAGCTAATCAAGAAGTGATGGTGAGGTTAGCCTCAAGACCAACGAAACGTCGCTCAAATAAACATGTGATATTTTTGAAGTTTTTATTTACACTCTTTGATTAGCTCCTACTGATCGTGTGCTTATGCACTGACCCTCTAGAAGTAAAAAAAAAGAGCATATGTGCTTGACCATGGCTGGTAGTTTGTGTCATAGGAATTTTTTATTGGAACTCTTGTTCTGACTAGTATTTTGTATAAATGATTTTTTACGTTTGAATTTATAATTAAAAGGAATAGTTCATCGATTTGTTTTGCAAACAAATAAATAAATGTTGTTTTTGCTCGCCAGAAACCAGCTGTTGACCCAAAGGCCTTATTTGCTATCACTTACAACATGCTGTCCTTTGAAATCGTTGATCCGACATTATGGTGTTAGATTTCACCGAGTGACATGTATGAAATGGTGTTTGTGTGTCAAATATCGAATTGACGTTTACTTTCTGTATAATTTAATGTCGATGTGATGTAGTAATTACGTACGTCTATTTGTCTTTTTATCTCATGTTTTTGTAGCTAATCTTTTAAGCTTAAGCTTAGTGCTATTATTTATTTCTGAAACTTGAGTTTATTAAATTATTAAAGCTTGGTACTTAATTTATAGCATAAAGCTAAAATTTCGTTTTTATTAATCGAACTATTTGATTTTGAAACACGTGAATTTAGAAAAATCCAATTAACAATTATTATATATTTTCACTATTATTTTCTAAGTTTGGATTACAGTGTTACAATAAGTATTGATGTTTCTTAACTTACTTCACTTTTAAGATTGTTGGTAAGCTGCTGCTGGTGGGCCCGCAGTTGTGGGATCTTACAAGATTGATCACAATTATAGTTACAGTACTACATGAGAGTACTCATGGCGATGATGCTACGTAGGCTGCTGTTTTTTATGTCAAACCCCAAGTTGACGGGCTTTTTTTTTTTCTCTCTTAGTCCATAAATAATTAACGTATTTCTAATTTTCGAGATTTTCTTACAGCTTAGCTACCGTACTCAGTCTTGCATTTGCTTGAAATGCACACTTTTAATACGCAGCCTTATCACTGTATAAAGTCTTAAATTGGCTTAAAAGACACAACTAACTTTACTCTCAAACCTTTCTAGCTACTTTAGAGCACTTGATATAAGAGAAAAGGCGAATATTGGTATGTGCAAGGAGTTTTATACTCTTGCATTTAAAAAGGACACTTCATGTTGGGAATCCGAACTACTAATCAGAGCTTCTCTTCGTTAGTCTCGAGTGACACAAGCACAGTCGTGATGCAATAATTATACAGCGATTGATAATTTAGTTTGCTATTTTCTTAGGTACAAATTAGGTACGAGTTGCTGTCAAAATTATAAATTTTGAAATTTTTGATTGTTAACATTTTTGGGTGTAGTAGTGTGGATGATGTTGTAAGATGAGCGCTTCATAAGATTGTTTAGGGGTTGCATGCGTAGTTGGAGTTGGCTGACGGTAGCTTTTTTTTTAAAAAAAAAAAGTTGTATGTCACGTGATTGCAGAAGCAAATATAAGAATTGCCAAGCTTCAAAATTGCTGTGAGTTTTAAAGTGATCAATATAGTAATTAAGTATATGACATACTATGTCACATGGTATGTACCACTTTTGAATATTTACCTGTTGATAAAAAAGTTGCATCTAAAGAGGTTTATGAAATAAATACATTCATATTAAAAATAAATTACGCTTGACAGTGGATAATGAAAATTGAAATCCATCAAAAAAGCATAGACTGACTTGTGTAGCACTTTTTAATTTATAGAAAATTTTGTGTGTATCTAACTCTGAAGTCTCCGTTATGTATAACAGAAAAAAGCCTCTGTTTATAACTTGATGGTTTTTGACTTGGTGACTTGTCAAGGTTACTGTCATTTAACTGTAGCTCATCGAGGTGCTCAAGAAATTGGCAGTATAATTAAGCGCTTTATCAAAATTAAAGTTGAGCTGGGGTCAAATTTTTTATTTTTATAGTAACAATTGTGGATGTCAGAACAAATGTATTTATATTTTTACTGTATATTATCAAAATGGCTGTTGATTTTAATGTTATCATTCGATAGACTTAAAAAGTTGCTAAGAAAACTTTATTTGATTTCTTTCTGAAGTTAAGAAGCACATGTTTTTAAATTTTATTCAATTATTGTCTTCTAGTATCTTTTTAAGGACCACAAGCCAACAAAAAGTCATTTAAGGTAAATATTCCAGTAGTTTGGTACCAAAAAACTGGTCCCAATACTTGGCCACTGTATAAAATACACAGATAAATCTGGTTGCCAACTATTAGGTAATGCATGTGTCCCAATAGTTGGCCACCAGCTTTTACATACATTTAAGGTGGTGGTGGCCAAGTACTGGGATACAACAGCCTTAAGGTGACCAACTATTAGGACATTTACCTTACTGCACTCTAAATTTGAAAGAGCTGCTAGAAGTTTACAAATTTTTCACCAAGTTAGTTCTAGATCATGGCAGATGGTAGTAAATTATAATTAACAATCAAAGTACAATTAAGTTTTACCTCATCGTCATTACTAAGGTCGTATACGGTTTTGATAAGGAACTAGGGATTGAATCAGTTTTGTTATTAGATAAAAGTCAGTTAAAACAGTGCTACAATGGAATATTACACCATTAAATGGAAAGACAAACAAAGATTTGCAATATTTAGTGAACAAAAAGTTAATTTAGATCAGGTGGCTGATTATTACACTAAAATTACTAAGTCATTTGGATGCAGTTACGTAATGAAATTGATACAGTTACTTATTTATGTACTTAGTACAATAAAGATTTGTGATGTCAAGCAGTGGTGCACTGTATTTTCCAATCCCATTTTCCTTGCTTGTACTGTCTATTTCAAGTATGATCAGCTCATTTAATATCAATGGAAGCTTACACGCGCGTGCATTATTAAACAGTCATAGCACATGTGCACCGCACCATTTAAGTGCAGCCACAAATAAACTAACTGAACAGCAGCATATTGAGCAATTTAATATACCCTTTGCAAAAACCGGTGCACCCTGCTATCTAACCCTTACTCGTTGATACCTTGTACCCTGAAAACGACACACTCGATGAACTGGCAGGTTAACGCCAGATAAACCTATACCTCGCTAAATAAAAATGTCAATTACTGCCATCGAAATGAGCCATGGCTATAAGTTAGTCATTCGTTGCGTACCTTAATTGAGCTAGGTACAACGACTCCTACCGCACCAATAATGAATACTGAGTAATAAAACCAAAACTGACCAATGTCCTCTGGCAATCTCTTACTGAATGGGCCGATTTTTGCCGTTTAAGTTGGTACTAGCTTCATTCACTGATATTATTTATAGTGTAACATTTTTAGAATCCACTGATTGGCCAAACTGTATGATTCGCAAGTACTATAAAATTTCTTTACAATTTTTTCCTATGTGAAGAAAGATGGAAAGAAGTAACAAGGAACCTCGCTTCCTCTTTCTGACGCGATACCAGCTGGACTTGTGAGAAGTAGCCCACGCGTGTGCGCCACAATGGGCCGAGAGAAGAACCTCCAATGCCTGGCTGATCCTATTTGACCATAAGTCATTAGGAGGCTTTAAACTTCTCTCGCCAAATACTTCTTATCGACAGCACTCGTGGCCTGCATTTGTGGCTCAGTCAGTTTACACCGGGTTTTTAAATTTAGTGCCAATCCTGGACATTTTTAGCCTTGCTCCCTAGTGCACAAGTTGTACCGAATTGTATCATTTTTGTGGTTAAATACAAGTGAATTCAAAAATTTTTCTTCTCCTTTATGTCACCCAAAAATGGTTGAATCCAAGTATCCAGTGTGTGATACTGGTATTCACACCCAACTGTATAAAAATGCCATTGGTCCGGACAACATTGTCTACGTCTGACGTTAGCTAGAGCGAATTGATACATTATCAGCTAAAAATTAATTGCAGTGTGTAAGTACATTCAGGTCTTTATAGAGTTACAATACATTTTAGACCAGAAGTTTGGTTTTATTTAAGTTTTACAAATATATGTTACTCTTGTATATATGTGTACAATATATGTGTACACTTAAGTTGTACTACTAACGGCGCTATTGTCATTGTAGTACTTTGTATACATAAGTATACTAGTGACTGTAATTAGACTAAGTTGTGCCTATCATTTCCATCATTGTGATCTTTTTTAAGTTTTACTAGTTATCAATCGTTAGTGTGTATAATTGCAGACAGAATATTAGTGTACCTGTATAAACAAAGTACCTTCACGCCATAATACTACTGATAGGGTTAGTCGGATGAAACATTGTCATTTACTATATTAGAAATACGTTGAAAGTAATCAGTTAACTTTTTTATCTATTTGAGGCTATCATACAATCAATCACTATCTTAGTTAAATATAAGTTAATGGGTTAAACTTAAAAACATGGATAAAAATAAGCTCTTTCATACTGCATATTAATATTTAAGTAATAGACATTAGTGAAGATATTAATATACATTCGTATTACTTGATTCGATGAACTTTATTAATGTTAGACCTATTGCTTTTATTCTATTGCTTTTTTTGTCCTGAACTTAATATACGATATTTCCCAGAAGATTTTTATAACGTAAAAACAATTTTTTGTCGTGTTTTTAATGTTCTAGTTGCATGCATAAAATTATTTTTTGTTTGCTAATGTGAGACAACTTAGGATTTGTATTTACTTGCACTACCAGGAGCTTTAGACTGTGACATTTGTGAAAATTTTAGTTCTGATGCTCAGGTTTATTTATATTTTAACTTTGCTATGATTTATTTCCCAATTATGTTATCTACTTAAAATATGTATTTTCACTATATGACAAAATTGAAAAAAATTGATTAAATAATTTCAATTGCAGAAAATAAAAAATGACATAGATGCTCATAATCGGCCCATATCAGCTTGCGTCGATCAAGTCAGGCAGATTGTCCTTACTACTACGGATATACTGTCAAGCGAAGAGTTATCTAGTTTGGATATCAGTCGATGTTTAAAAATGAGGTTTGACCGAGTTTCGGAGCATTCAGATCAGTTGCTTAAGATACTTATATCTGCTCGAGATGAACTTGGAAAATTCAAGTTAGTAGTCATCTCAGCCATAATTTTAACAATAAAAAAAATTCTCTTTTAAAAATAATTTAATCATATTTTTTGTAGGAAAGAAATTTCTTTATTTCTTAACTGGCTAGATAATTCATATTGCTTACTTGAAGAAAAAGAGTGCTGTTTGACTTTATTGAGCTCGCTGAATACACTGCCAAGCAGTAGTGAGGCTAGTCGAGATTTCATAAGTGATGTTATTGCACATCAAGCAGACCTTCGTTTTATTACAATGTCTGCTCAAAAGTTCGTTGATGAGAGCAAAAAGTATCTACAAGTTTTAAATAATCTGCGTACTAACCTTCCCCAACGATTTCCTCATAAAGAGCCTATCTCAAGTCAAGATTCAGCTATGAGAAATGAGGTTGGTCTAGTGACTGGTCAGTACAGAGAGTTACTTAGCCGAGCAACTACACTTTCTGAAAAACTTACAGTTCTCGGTAATCGTCAGCACAGTTACCGTGAGTCTCTTAACAAAGCAGTTATCTGGTTGCAAGAGTTTGAACCCCGAGTACATCAGCTATTAGTGGAGGTTGTTACACATGAACCTAAACAAATAGAAGAACAGCTTACACACATTAAAATGCTTTATGCTGAAGCATTAGCCAATGAACCACTGGTTTCGTCAGTTATTGAAAATCTTCAAACTCTATTACGAGATCTGAATGATCGTCTGGCACTAAATGAACGTGAACTATTAGAAGGTCCAGTACATAACCTACAAGAACGCCATATTCAGCTAAGAAAATCTTTAGTAGATCGATGCCGTGACCTTGATGCAGTTCTGTTGCAAAGCCAGAATGTAAAAGATGCACTTGGAAATCTTCAAGTTTGGCTGACTACAGCTGAAACGCGACTTAAAAGTATATGTCGACCAGCAAGCTTACAACGTGAACGCCTTGAAGAGCAGCTTAAAGAACAGCGATTACTGCAAGCTGAGCTGGAAAGCCACCAAGAAAGTGTCAAAGCATTAATAGATAAAAGCCAAAAATTCCAAATAAACGGTACTGCTGGAGTGTGTACAGCGGAATCTGTAGAATCGGAACTAGTTGATGTGCAGAATCGTTTTGTTAAGTTGTGCGAGCGTTCAGAGCGACGTTGTGCGTTTCTTGAAGAAGTATCTTGCTTCTTGGAAAATTTTCTTACTAAAAACGCTGAATTTGAAGTTTGGTGCTTACAAATGATTGATCTACTGACATCACGGGATCTCGCAAGGCTTGAGCTTTCTGAGTATGAGGCCAGGATCAATACGCTCTTAAATCAGCGGGATAACCAACGTCCGGTGTATGAAAACTTAATACGTACTGGTAAAATTCTTACAGCTAAAAAAGACATTAGTGAAAGTGTTCTTATAAGAGACAAAATTAAAGCTGCTGAAGCTCAGTGGAAAGAACTTACTGTCCTCATTGATGAAAAACAACGATTAAACAAACTAAGAGCTGAAAAATTGATAGCTTATGAGAAGTTTCGCCATCAGGTTCTTGACTGGCTCACTCAAACCGAGAACCATGTACAAATACTTCAGCCAGTACCAGTGGACCTTGAAAAATTAAGAGAGCAACTAGACTTATTAAAACCTCTTCAGAAGGAGTACAAAGATTTCGGAAGTACTGTGGATAAACTTAATGATCTTGGTATCGCTTATGATAATCTCACCAAAGAAAGGAGTGAAAGCCCAGCAAGGCGTCGCACAATTATTAGCCCGACTAAACGACCGAATACGACCAATCTACGTAAGATGATCAATCAATTCTATTAATAATATTTATGGTTTATATATTTATCAATAAGTTAATGGCGTTATGGATGTCTAGATAGTTTCATTCTATACTAGTTGTACTATATTGGCTTGTATTGTATTGCTTATATATAACATAATGGATTTGCAAAATAATTATTTTCTCGAAAAATGAAGAGTAGAAATTACTATTAAAATTAGTAAACATAATTAATTTAGATTAAATAAGTAATAAAAAATATGAGTTGCTGTTCATTTTTCCAAGTTTTAAATTCATTACTTTTAATTTGAGCTTGATTTTGTTTATTCTTCTGAAATTTTTGAATTGGTGTTCACTCTTTTAGATACGTTAGAGACTAAATCATTTTAATTAAAATGTTACTATATAATACAAGTCTAAACAACGCGATTGGTAAACTAGGGAACTTGAATAATATTCAAATTACTCTTAACGTTCTTTTATTTTTTTATTGTAAAGCAGAAAATAACATTCAGTGTTTTTGGATTATATTTTGTTGTGTAAAATACTTTTATGCCTTGATTGAAAATGATGTTTGCCCATGCATAAATGGTTGTTAGTTAATGTGTTCTGTATAAAAGTGTTTGCTCAATACTTAGTGTTGGTCAAAGTGGGATTATTGGTATAAGTTTTTATTTACAGTGACTTTGCTAGCCTGATGCCTGTAATATTGCTGTTTTTGAGTGTTTTCTTGTTGTTATCAAAAAAATGTTTTGGATCTTAGTAAATATTTAAACTCCTTAGCTCGTATTGAAAATGTTAAAGCTTTTTTTCATAGTAAACACTTGAATTTTTTTTTTCTCAATTTGGAAAATAGATTTCTTATTGTTTATAAAATTCATATTGCTAATTTTAAAAAATACTTTATTTCAACTTGCTAACCTAATTTAGAGAGTTTCTACTCATAATTAGGTACCTCAATATTACATGTTTTTGACATCCTTCAGTTTTTTCTTCTTAGTACAGAAGAGTCATGAATTTTTTAACTAAAATAAATTTTGAAAAAAAAACTGACGCAGTTTCTTAGATGTAAGAATATTTGAGGGATACCTAGCCAACAAAATTAAGTTACAATTTTTACTTCAACATGTTCTTGAACGCTTGTTGGTAGATGAACGTGGTGTAAAAAAGAAAAACAGATAATATAGGGAAAGTATTATTGCTATGAATAAATTTTCTTTTGAGCTTCTTTACACTTCAGAAGAAATAAATCAGTTCGTTAAAGAGAAACTCAAAATCAAAGTGACAGTTATTAATGCGCACATAACTGGAAACAAAAACAACGGCCCGCTGGTTATTGCCTAATTGTCAACTGTTAAGATCAAAAATATTGTAGTATTGAAAAAAGGAATCGAATACGATAAAAATATTCAAGTACACAATAATTTTACTTAGCCTGAAGAAGAAAATCAAAATAAACTCTTAAAGATTGCAGCAAAAGAGTGAACTACAGGAAAAACCGCATTGCCCCTTAAAAAAAATATCAGTAATAGTATCCCTTATGTCTGAAAGAAAGGAATTGGCTTATTGGTTAAAAAAACCCTCTATAGTCATTTTTTGTCAACGTCTCTGGCTCTGCAAACTCTAAAATGGATCAGCTAATAACTTGGATACCGCAAATTGATTGACATGCTTCCACCCCTTACTTTTCTGAAACATTTAAAGTTTTGACAATCTACTTAGCTTACTATCTGAAAAGTAATACGCTAAATCTAAGAATTGTGATATTCTAGAAATTACGGAAACTTCGCTTATTGATACACTAAGCAAGTTACCTCCATTTTTTCAAATTTTATTGTCTTGGATAATATTGCTACAAAGCCTAGATTGCAAGAAAGACCGAGTGATGGCATAGCTTTTTTTTATTAAACTTACTTTTTCTAACACGGCACGGTATAGACAATAATATTGCAATCGCTAAATTGGCTGAATTAAAAGACCCCACACAAATTCAATGTGATTATGGTTCCCAATAAAATGGTCTGAAATTTTAATGTGTTATGGTTTAAGCCGTTCTGAACAAAAATTACCATAGGCGCAAGATCCGAAAACGGACAGTTTTAGAAAAAATAATTATTCAAGTCGCCAATTTTGAAAAAGGTTAGTTTAACAGGTGGCGCAGTTCAGTACAATCAATTAATATATAGCTCGCTCCATGTACAAAGAAATGATCGGAAAGGGTTACGTCGAGTGCATCTACCATTCTTGACTATCAATGGGCGTGATATAAGATTATTCTAGTTTAGTCAGTAGTAGCGTAGCTCATTGGCATTATTGTGTTGTATGGAAGATCTATGTCTAGGTAAAAAGAAATACCCTCTAGTATAAGAAAGTGCTTATCGTAATTACCCGATGAACAATTGGCTTTATAATTTTTTAACCATCAATCGCCAAAAAAATACTCGATCAAGTTTATTAATATAAGTTGTCACCGTTAATTTATATTTAAATAGATAAGCTGACCCTACTATACAACGACATGTCTATTATTTAACAACATTATTACTACCGGAATCCATGCTGTAGTTGATGAAATTTATAATTTGCTAGTAAGGAATAGATTTTACATTTAAAGTCCTCTAACTGTTTTATTTTCAATATTACTTACAGGTACAGTGAGCTTAGATCATCACTCCACCACTTCTTCTTCGTCCAGTTTCAAAAACCTACTATTTGTAGATCCTGCGTTATGCTAAACCTTTTCTTGTGGCAAAGATTGCTGATTCCCAAACACAAGATCAAGTTTTTCTAAGACAAGTAACTATCTCTTGCGACACATACTACTTTTGTCCTTACAACTTTTCTTTTAAAAAATAGTGAGAACAAGTTATTTTTAAATTATAAGGACATTCTTAAAATTCCTTAGTATTATGACTACTGTAATTTAATACACATTAATGTGATAATACTTTATGTCAAATCCTGAAACCCATCAATTAATTTCAATTTATTTTAGTAGCTCATGATTAGATTCTAGTTTTTAACTGTCATACTTCTGTAAGCTTGTCAGTTGTGTAAGTCATAATGATTCAATAGCTCTGAGTATCAGCTTTATTTCATCTGCTAGTCATGGTGTCATTGGTGTCTCAGTCTTGTTTTCCAAATGTGATAGGCAGTAAAAGACTTAACAAAATGTCCATCGTCACAGTTTCCCACGCGGGGGTCTTTGATAACTTGTTTTTTTGGGAGACACACTGTAACAAGTTCGACTGTTGGTTTAAAGACAAAGTTTTCAGTGCGGAAATCTTTGATAGCGTGTTTTTTAGCGAGAAACGCTGTCTTATTTGATTGTCAGCAGTGCCCAGCTGACATCTTTGGTAAGCTTTACCGTAGGGCTAATTGTTAAACTTTTCTGTTATTAAGTTGTCTCATTTATAATTAAATTATATATAAGAAAACATTTGAGATCTCTGATGCTGTAAGAAAATTTTTAGAAAAAATTTTAAACTATACGATTTGAACTTTATGAAAAGTGTTTTTCAAACGTCATTTTTAATAGTTAAATTGTAAGGCACAAGTATCACAAACATTTATGAACACTATAAGCTTTATAACCTGTGTCATATGTAAGAAAACGAAAGACAAAAGCCAGAAGCTGAATGATTCATAATAAATGATAAATATTATAAGTATTATAGCAATGCTTGAAATAATATATAACTTGTTTTACTAAGAAAAACCGTTTTTTTGATATGTGCATCTTCCTTTGGAATTAGACTATCGGATCACTCTTTTGCGATAAACCCTGTCAAATAAAACCAGGTATGATATCTCCGATAAGATCTACTCGTAGTTTAAAGTCAAAGTTTCCGGCGCGGAAATCTTCCCTTAAGGTAAGGCAAGTCTAGTTCGTGCAAATTTTTAGCAGAGCTACAGCCTATATCTCTGATAAGTTAGTCTCAAAGACCAACGTTAAAGTTTCCTGTGCAGCAACGTTCCACACCTTCTTTTATAATTTTTCTGCTTTGCAGGAAAAGTTGTCATGCAAAATATGTGCCATAAGTAGAGCTCAAGGCCCATTGTCAAAGTTTTCCGTGCGGGGATCTTCGACAACGTGTGACTTTGCCATAATCACCAACAGATAAAACCTGTTATTGCAGATTTTCAGCTGTGCCTAGCTTATATCTTTGATAAGGTCGACTCGTGGTCTAAATTTAAAAATTTCTACGAAGGGTTCTTTGATAGCGTATTTTTCTCGCAAGAATCTCAGTCTGATAAAATCAGTTCTCACTCATTTTCAGCAGTACCTAGCTAACACCCCTTTAAGTTTGACTCGTAATTCAAAGTCAAAGTTTTCCGTGCGGTGGCAGCTTCTAGTGCCTTAAAACTTATGTGACTCAACATGGAAAGATTTATTTGGCTACAAAAAATAATTATATCATCATTAGGTACAATTTTACTGTGTTTTAAACCTTTAAAAAAAAAAACAAATTACAAAGTTTGAAGTCCGAGGTCTAGCATCGTATTAGACAATATATTTTTTGCTATTGAATTAACACAATTATTTTTCGAATACACTGTATTATTTAACTTGAGACAAAAGATCATACAGTTCTGTATAAGTCTAGATATTTAGCCTCACAATATGCTGGTCATGTAGCCAAACACTAAGCCATACTTCAAGCTATACTTTGAGCCGTCAATTTAGCCACACATCGAGCCATACTTTGAGCCATACATTGTTCCATACTTTAAGCCATACATTTAGCCATACATTTAGCTACACATTGTGCTATACTTAACAGCTATTTTTTTAGCCATACTTTTGTCCACATAGTTTGAGCTATACTTTGAACCATACTTTTAGCCATACCTTCAGCCATACACTTAGCCATACCTTAAGTCATAGGTTTAGCCACTTATCGTACCGTACTTTGAGCTATACTTTTAACCGTACATTAAGACGTTTATTCAGCCACCATTGAGCCACACATTGTGTCAGACTTGATGCTATACTTGAAGCCAGACATTGTGCC